CCCCGCACCCCACACAGCCGAATTCTCAAGCCACATCTTCTTAGCACAACAGGCCGGCCACCCCTACCCTTGACTGCATTAACCCTTTGCCAGTGGCTACCACGGGGTGGGGGGCCACTGCCCCTCTGGGCTCCAGGGTGGGCAGAGAGAGAGGAGGCAGCAATCCCCAGGGGCCCGAACTACCCTCCCCCCATCTCCCAGCGCTGGAACCTGCAGGGCTTCGTGTGTCCTTCCACCCTCACCCCAGGACTCTGGCCTCCCATCTCCCCGAGCTGCCGCTCTGGAAAGTTCACCAGAGCCCGGAAAGCCCTTTGAGACGACGATCTGGCCCCTCACTCACGGGTTCCCTCCTCACGGGAGACTCTTGACCCTTGCCCTTCTCAGAAGGAAGAGTGCTTGGAAAGCACCAGGTTCACCACTGGGTGGAAAACTTTGCTTCTCAGGGTTCAGACCGGCGCCCGGGGCCCGGAGGGAGTCCCGATGGAGACTCCCTGGGGGTGGGCGTCTGAGAATGCAAAACAGCTCTCCCTCCTAAGCACCTGGGAGCCGGGAGTGGCCTCTGCCGGACATCACCCATCGCCCAACACGCCTCGGATCCCCGACCTCGCACGCAGCTCTGCCAGTCGCCTCCAACCGCTCGCCCCCGGGCGAAAGCAGCGGCGCCTTTAAGAGTCGCCCAGCTTACCTTTGCTCCGTTTCGCCGGCGCCACGGTGCCCGGGGCTCCGGCTCCGACCTCCCATCCTCCCCCGGCGCCCCCGCCAGCCGGACTCACCGCACGCGTCCTGAGGCCACCCGGCTGGGCGCTGCGCCCTGCGCCCTACGCCCTGCGCCCTGCCGGGGTCCCTGACCGGAATCTGAGCTGCTTCCCCTGCTTTGGAAAGGTGAGCAGCTCCCCAGAGAAGCTGCAACCTGAGCAGGAGGGGAAGGAGGTGGAGGAGGAGGGAGAGGGGAGGGGAGGAGTGGAGGAAGGTGGGGAAGAGGAGGGAGGAGGACGAGGGGGAGGAGGACGCCGAAGGGGAAAGCCCAGCCCCACCAGAGCTTTTCACGTGTACAGCTGACTCCTCCCCGCCCCTCCCGCCCTGCCCAGAGCCGCTTCCAATCCCCAGGGCTCCCTCTGCCCCGGCGCCCACCCCTTTCCCCGACTCGGGGAACCCGGGTCCAAGCACCGTTTCCGGTTTGGGTCTTGGGCCCGGCCTCAGCCGGCGTCCCCGGGGCTGGTCCTGCGAGCAGTGACTAAAGGGGGAGACCTTCCGGATTGGAGTACCCCAGCGCTGGGCCCGGGCAGAGGTGATTCGCTGAGAGGGCGGTTCTGATATTGTAGCTCTCCACCTTCTGAGTCTGTCTGATCCTGACCCCGGGAGCCAATGTGCACAGGCAGGTCCTGTAGGTCATTTTCACCGTCAGAGTTCTTGACAACTGTAGCCCTGGGGCTCTTTCTCTACTCCGTTGAGTGGGACTTGTCACTTACCTTTAGGGTCAGAGCTCCCGCCTGGTTGGCCCAACCTCTCCAGGGCCTGAATGAAGCCTGCCCCGCCCCCCAATTCCTATCCTGAAGGCTAATTCAGTTTGTCCTTCTGTAATTCAACCCTGCAGGCCAACTGAGAATCACGTAAAAAGACTTAGACTAGCTAGGGCTAGTCCACCTTGAATTTTACAGAAGGAGTAACTGAGGACCAGAAAGGAGATTGAATTGGCTTAAAGTCCCACAAGGAGTTAGCAAAGAGTCGCAATTAGGACCCAGGCTAATGACCACTCTACCCACACCATCCGACTTCAGGGATCAAAGGAAAACTGGGGTGAGATGAAGAGCACAGTGGCCCCTTCCGGGCCCCTCCCAGCCCTGCTTCCTCCTGAGGGCTGTGAGCAGAGGCATTAAGACCTCAGATCCCATGAGCACCAAATCAAGGTCTGTGTCATCTGCCCTGCCTGTAGGCATGGCCTCTTTAATTTGTGGGTCCTGGCAAGGGGATGAGTCTCTTAAGGGGTGGTCCACAGTGTAGATGTGTTTCTGCCTGAACCCTTTCCTAGGATTGATCTGAAGTGACTGTCACCCCTTAGGTTTTAGGCTTTGAGCCTGAGGCTTTTCCCTGGGGAAAAGGAGTTGTTGAGAGTAAAACAACTTCCTTTCTGAAGACTTGAGCTCAAAGTCTCACCCTTAGGCCAGCCATCCGCCCTCCAACAACAGCCTGTGGCACAAGATCTCTCTAGACTCAGCAGGGGTTGGGCATGGAAGAAAGAAGACACTGGAGCCATGCAGGAGAGTAGTCCACAGGGGTACCCCACATAAGACTGCTGCGGAACAAGGAGCCTATGCTGAGGCAGGGAAGGGGCGGGGAAGGCAGGGAGAGGGGCTATGGCTAAGGAACTGTGTTTTAGAGGATTAGAGAGAATGAGGCCAAGGGTAGAGTTTCAGGGAACCAGAGGATGGATGAGGTCAAGAGGTTTCAACAAGACTTTTCTGAGCATCTCTTATATGCCAAATAGACAAGTCTCTGGGCACAAAAGATGAATGAAATGCAGTACCTACCCTCGAGGAGCCCACTGCCTAATGGGGCAGGTAAGTAAACAGTTATGATGCTATAGGACTGAGATTAGAGCTGTGGCTACCTGGTCGTCCTGCTGCTTGAGCTGAGGGTTATGGAATGAAAGGACAGTGAAGGGGAGGAAGGGTTTTACTGTTTTCCCAGGCAGGCTAACACCACATACAAAGTGCGGGGGCAAGAGAATATGGCCACACAGTTCCGTGAGGCCAGAGCTTGGAGTTGTTGGGGCTGGAGGTGATGCTGTAAAGGGAGGCAGGTGCTGGGTTCTGAAGACTCTTCTACTGCACCGTGGCTGAGAGCCAGGACCTTACTCCAAAACACATGGCAGCCTGGGGCTTTTCAGAGGAAAGAGATATCACCAGGTCTGTGATTTAGGACGAGCTCTCTGGCAGCCAAGTGAAGGTTTGATGATGGGGGCACATCTGGAGATGAGAACCCCAATTGGGTGGTGGATCCTGGGGAAAAATGATCCAGGCTTACACTAGGGCAGTGGCAGCAGGGAGAAGAGGAGGGAACTGACTTGAGGGATAGTTAGGAGACAGGGTCACAGAACTCGGTGCCTGTTCGAGTCTAGAAAATAAAGGAGCGGAGAGTGTCAAGGTTGAAACTACTGGTGTGAGAGGCGAAGCTGAGCGCTTCTTTAGGATGCCCCGATTCTCAGACCCTCCTTGTATTTGCTGCGTGGCCTTGGGCAAGTGACTTAACCTTCCTGAGCCTAGTTTTGCCATTTGTAAAACAAAGATACTAAAATCGATCTTGTGTGGTTGTTGTGCATATTATAGATAATATGTGCCAAGGCATAGGGCTTGGCTCATCATATAGAAACTCAATAAATAATAGATAAAATTACCATTGGTTGCCCATTCAACAAACCTTTATTAAGCACCTGCTATGTGCTGGGGACTGTACTGGATCCTTGAGATACAGGGATGATTTTAAGTCTCAGTCCCTATTTTCAAGCCGGTCACCATCCAGTGGGAGAGGGACATAGAGAGGAAGTCACATGGCAAGACCATATGGGCTGGAGCAGAGGAGGAATCCCTTAACTGTGTCTAAGAGAATCAGGGACAATTTCATAAGAAGTGACAGCTTAAACAATGTAGGGCCAGCCACCTGCTCAGAGACTGTCACATCGCCCGCCCCCCACCCCTGACATGGGATTGTGTTTCAGAATCTCTGAAATCTTCAGTTTTAAAGCATTATCTCGCTCCTCGGGGTCGGGAAAAGATGACAAGCTGCAGATGGGTGTCTATATGGAGCCCAGAGAATGGCAGGTGAAACCTTGGCAGCCCCGGGGAAGGGCATGAACAATCGGGCAGGTGGAAAGGGAAACAGGTAAGTGACCGTGAGCAAGTGGGCAGAGCTTACTAGCTAGATAGGGAGCGTATGTGTGTGTGTGCCATTTGGGCCATACTAATTTATCTGCCCTCTATCTGTGCTCTTCTAAAAATTCCCTCTGAACCCTGTGGTGTCCCTGCCCTCCTCCCATGCCAGTTTTATTGCCACACTTCTGTCAACAAGCCCAGCTCAGGAGATACAGAACTACCTGGGTCCTCTACTAAGGAGGGGCTCCTATCCTGCTGCTCCACTAAGCAAGACCTTGGGCTTTAAAGCCACTTGGACTATGTGACCTTGGGCATTTATTCATATCTCCAATTCCCCAGCTGTAGCATGGAGACGGTAGTAGTCCCGTTCTCACGAGGCCGCTGTGAGGTTTCAATGAGATGGACACTTGGCACCCAATCCATGCTTGTTTTCCTTCTCTGCAGCCCAATAACTGCCTCCTATCAGGGTCAGACGAGAGACTCTCAGCTGGGGGTTTCCCCTGGCATTACTGCTCATGGGGCCCCACCCCTGTAGACCTGCAGGCCCCTCCCCTCTGCTAACCTAAAGGGTCTGTGGCATCCTGGGAGGCCTTGGTGCCTAGCAAGCAGGATGCTGGCAGGCTGGAGCAGCATGACATCAGGGGGCCCACAGCAGTTCAGCCTACTCCCTACTCTGATCCTGTCTCTCCTCCATTCCGCCCGTGACATGCCACTGCTCTGCAGATAGGACAGGCATCCCTGGGCGCCTGAGGGCTGAGTGAGGAAGCTGGAAACAGCTCTGCCTCGCAGACTGAGTGGGCAGTGTATTTGAATAGTTTCTGAAAAAACAAAGTTCAAGTCTGCCCCGCTTTCCTTTGGGAGGCACAGCATCCTGATAGGGAGAGTTCAGCCAACAGAGACCTTTCTGCACATTGCTGTGGCTCTCCCTCTTTCTGGCCCTACCCACACCCATGCAGGCATGCCAGGTAGGGACACTTGGGAGGCCCAAGACCTGCCTCTGCCTCTAAGGTACAGGAGTCTTTTCGTTTATTTGGGCCTCAGTCTTCCTCCTCTGCAAGATGAGAATGATGTGAATGCCTTCCTCTCAGGGGGGTTAAATGGCAGTGTGAATGTGCTTTGTAAACTGTAAAAAGATCTGCACATGTATGAGATCATTAGTGTTTAGCCAAAAGGCCCTTCTTAGGGTTCTAAGAGACAAGCAAAGATAAGAGAAATGGGAACCTAAGAACAGAGAGAAACTCTCCCTAGGTCATGTATGTCCTCGGCAGGGAGAGTGGCAGCAGCGACCTGGGCCCAGAGTCCAACCCCCATGGCCTGGCTCCTTAGGGTGTGCTAGTCAGTAGGGGTAACGGGATTCACCTAGACACAGCCAATTCTGACTCCTCCTCTGAATAAACCCAGGCCATTGTTTTCCAGTGATTTATGGGGAGTGGGGATGATTAGAAGAAAAATGTCATGTACCTGGTACCGGTTTGATTCCACTTTGTCACTGCATCGAGCATCAGATCCTCTCCTCACTGTTTCTGCTAAACATACAGGCATGCGTGTACTCATGCACTTGTATATACACGCATGCGTGCACGCACACGCGCACACACACACGTGCGCGTGCACACACATAAGCCTTCAGGTTGCTGCATTGCCATGGCAACGAAACTACCACACAGAGCAGAGAAAATGGGAAAGTGGCCCTTAGCAACAAGGCTGGACCAGTCATCGGGGTGAGGATGCAGGCAACACTGGCTGGGATTGGGTCACTGAGAAGGGCCCCCACCCAAGCTAGGGGAGAAAAGAGAGCGCTGGTTCGCCTGGGCTTTCTAAGTCCATTTTCTAGCCCTGGGTCTTGGTTTGCTCTGCTCACCTATAGACAGGGCCAAAGACTCTGTCTATTATAGAATGCGTATTATAGAATGCACTCAGAGTATGCAATTACTTTTCAACTAATAAATGAGGACAGGAACTATGAATTTTCTTTTCAGAAAACCTTAAGGATTTTGAGCTTTCTGGGTAAAAGAGTTGATCAATCCTCAGAAAGACTTAAAATCAAAGCCTAAAATCCAGCTCCTGAGTTCATTGCAGCGTTGGACCCCAGTTTAATTTGAAAACATTTACTTGGCATCTACCATGTGCCAGGCACAGACACTGGTTTCAGCTGTGGCCAGGTGGACTTTGAGGGGCCGATAGGACATGTTGGTAGAGACATCTGGAAATGTCCAGGAGGCCTGTTGAACAGGCCTGGAGGCCAGTGCTTATAGGGATGGCAGACGGCCTCAGGGACTTTACTCAGGGCCAAGGAAGAAGGCGGAAGCTTGGAACATGTGGGCCCCTTGGGGAACTGGCTCCTAGCTTCCATACCTCGTCATCCTCCCCTCAGTCAGCTACCAGAGAGCTCTTAGTTAATAATGAAAACTTGACAATGGGCTCCTCTGCCCAGCTGCTTTTGATATCTCCCTAACAGTGGGCCTTGGGGCCTCAAGACCTCCTTCAGAACCTGTAGGAAACTGAGGAACTTGCTCACTAGCATCAAAATATATGTACATTTCCCATTCATTTTCAGGACCCATGGGCCTCTTCAAGCTCATTCCTGGACTCACTTGTGAAAACATGAGACCCTCGTGACCTGGCCTCTGCCACCCTCGTCAGCTCATCTTCATCTCCGACCCCCGTTGGTAAATGCCCGGCCACACCACATGACATGTACTTCCCTCGCGCACACCACTGCATTTCACTGCTTCATGCCATCGCACATGTTATTCTCGACAACTGGAAAGGCTAGTAAACTCCCGTTCATTCTTCAAAGCCCAGCTTTGGAGTTACCACCTCTTTGTCTGGGTCCTCAGTGCTGTCCAGACAGGCTTGATCATCCCGCAGCCTGAAGCACTTCTGTCTACATACTTCTCTCATTGCGTGTTTTCCAATTAATGGGGGCTCCATGTCTGTCTTCCGTACTGGACTCTGAGTTTCCTGAGACTAGAGACCACATCTTTAGCCTTTGCATCCCCAGTACTCAGCATGTAATAGATCTGGAGAAATAAAATGGCGGAGGAATGAGCTGACAAAGAAGGAGGCCAACAAGCAGACCGGAAGAAAGGACAGGAGCCAGGAGAAGAAATGGTGTCAAGAAGGAAAGAAGCACCAGGAGGAGCCTAGAGGTCAAGATGGTTAAGGACTGAGAGGCATCATTGAATTTGGCAACTAAGAAGCCATTGGTAGAGAGACCAACTGTCCTGGTTTTCCTGGGACCCAGATTTCTAGAACTGAAAGTCCTAGGCAAATGGAGATGGTCTAGAGTGGTGACCTTAACAAGGACAACTCTGGAGGCGGAGGTGGGGAAGAAGCCAATCATGGGGGGCTAACGGGGGTATGGAAATGGGGAAGGGTGACTGGGGGTACTGGGGACTGCTGAGCCGTTAGGCTGTGCCAGGAAGAGACAGAGCAGGCAGGAGCCTGAGGATGGTGCCAGCCTCCCAGCCTATCTTTCCTGGAGTAAAAACAAACAAAGCTGGCATCAGGAACACCATGTACACCTTGGTGATTTTTTTCCTGAAGGGCTCCAAGCCCGCCACCTCTGTCACCTGCCTGGTCCTCCCGCTACCCCAATCCCCACGGCACCAGTGGCTTTCGTCCTCTGTGTGTTTTGTTCAGTAAGCACGAAAGGATCTGCTTGGGCTGTTGGCCACTCCTCTTTTGAGCTGTTATTTAAAAGTCTTTTAGTTTGCATATCTTGTCCAACTAATTAGGTTCTGAGCTTCTCGAAGGCAGGGATCATGCCTTCCTCCCTGTCTCCCTTTCCCTCTCTTTCCTGTTCCTTCCCTCCATAAACACTAATTAAGTGCTGTTTATCCAGTGGTTACCATGGCGGCGCAGTTCCTGCCCTCAGGTGTCTCACAGTCTGGGCTCAGGCCCCCTAAACATCAGGAGGGAGGATGTCAGCGAGTCTGTGAAAACCTACAACGTTATATGCCAGTATCGACTGTGTGTTTGTGTGTGGCGGGGTGTGGGGGGGAGGGTTCGCGTGTTTGTAAAGAGAGCCTCTACAAAAGACCACGTTCAAGTGGAGTCATTCTGCTGGATTTAAGTACTCTATGTGATACAGGCAAATTAGTCACCACTCTGTGCCTCAATTTCCTAATCTATAAAATGAGGATAATATAGCACCTTTCCGATAAGATCATGATGAGGGTTAAATGTATGTAAATAACAGTGCTTAGAGCATCTTAGAGGACAGTTAGTGTTAGCTATTATTCTTTTTAAAGGAGAGAGACAGAGACAGAGACAGAAGAGCTTTTGTGAGCCTTTCAAAGGGTTCTGTGATCCAGAGAAGATGAAGACCCTGTGGTCCAGCGGATGGGACCGACCTGTACGCTGACCGTGGGTAGTGCGCTGTGACAGGTGCTACAAGGGAGTTAGTCTGAGATGCAGCCAGGGCACCTTGAACTTTCTCTCTGCATGTCCAAAGCAACAAGTGGATCAGGACCCTGTTCTAAACAAGTCGCTCAGGAGTAATGAGTATTTGAATGGACCCCCACCCCACTCCGCCATTGAGTAGCGTGTCCAGCTTGGAACAGCATGTTAGGAGAGACCAGAACTCCATTTCTCCCAGTTGGACAGATTAAAGAAAAGGAGGAGGAGAAGGAGGAGGAGGAGATGGCTTTTGCTCCTGATCGCATTAAAAAGCAATAGCTTCCACAGCAATTAGGCACCATAAATGACAGAGCCTGCCTCTGTCAGCTGGCTCTGCACTATCTCATTAGCTAGGGTGCCAAGAGACACTGCACACCCTGCTAGGAGCTGCCTCATTGCCAAGTGCCTGCTTCATAATTAAATACAAACCCTGGTCTCTTCAAGGCACCCACCTGCCCCTCCTTGGGAGATAGGGACGCAGTAGAGGGACGCAGAGCGGATAGGGACACAGTAAAGGGGGCCTGTTAGGGGGAAGGGAAACTAGAGAAGTGTGAGTTCTGAGTGGGGAGCCCCAGGGCCCTCCCATGACCTTGGGCGGAGATTTGGGAAGTCTGCCAGGAAAGAAAGCGAAAGGGCACCTTCTCCCTACCTGGCCACCCAGGACTGACAGAGAGCAAGTGAGCCAAACTAGCTTCTAGAGGAGATTCTGAGCTGGACTTTAGGAAGTGAGGTCCTAGAACGAGGAGGGTTATGAAGTCCTTGCCCCTGGTTTGTCTGAGAACATCTAAGCACCCCCCACCCTGCCACACACACACGAGCATGCGCACGTGCGCGCACACACACACACACACACACACGCCACACACACACATGAGTATGCGCACGCGCGCACGCACGCGCACGAACACACACACACACACACCATTGATTTGCATCTAGATGAGAGCTAATGGGGATAGGTGCTGGGGAAGGGGGAGCAGTCGGGGGCTGGATGAGACAGCCCCCAGAGGCCCTTGAAGCCAGAATTTGAGTAAGGGCTGGGCTAGGGGGCAGGTGGAAATGTAAGGAGATATGTGCAGGAGAAATGATTTGGCAAGCCTCTTACGGGACAGGTGAGCTCTCCTCATGGTCAAGACTGCTCTCATGAAAAGGCAGTGGGGTTGGCTAAACACCAGAGCTCTTGCTTTCCCGAGTGGGGAACACAACCTAATAGGGAAGGCGAGAGGGGCCAAGGCCGGCCCAGCAGTTCTTTACTGCCCACTCCCACAAAGCCCTTGCCACTCTTCCAAATCCACTTTGAATGAATATTGACGA